CTCGTTTTGATCGCAGCCCTCAACATTGTTCACAATTCAGATAAATTGAGACTGTCCCACCGATTCATTGAAGAATCAATGACCTACATCACTGGCAGTTTTGTGGGGATTTGAAGGTGGTTGTTGTCTTGCTTGGTCTGCAGATTGGACACACAATGTACTGCTGTTTTCTATGTGAATGTGAAAGTCAAGCTAAGATTTAAAAAAGTATCTTTGTTGGTCCTCCAATTCATGAACTTCCTCAAGATGATGCATCTGACCATGCATTGTGTGGCAAGGAAAAGATGGCATGGAAAGCATTCAAGTTAGTGGCAATATATTTTCTCAGAATTAACAAGGCAGACAACTATAAGTTGTTGGTGGAAAATCTTCTCAAGGGAGACAAAGGCCTTGGTTGCAAAATGTCACTAAAGATCCATATTTTGCACTCTCATCTAGATTTTCTTCCACCAAACTGCGGAGCAGTGAGCGACAAACATGGATAGCAACGAACATTGTTACCAGGACATTGCAACAATGGAGAAATGCTATCAGGACAAATGGAGCCCATAAATGCTTGCAGACTACTGCTGAACAGTGACAAGAGATACTCCATTTAATGAATACAAGAGACAAGCCATGAAGCGCCGAGTAGACACTAAATAGGACTAAACTGTGTACAGTAGTTTTTTTGCCTTTTCTTACTTAATATATTTTATTTATATAACACTTTTGCTGATTTTTAAAGTGTTACATAAACAGGGCAGGTGAAATATTATCATGTAAGGCGAGCATAAACACATGAAAAGACCTAGGCATACAATTTATGATTAAAACTCTACTATCTACAGAATATACATAGATGTTAAATGTAAAAACTTGGAAACAGTAACCAACCCGTTGTTTTAATTGACATATCTGAGTTCAGCACATCAAGATACATAATAGCACATCTTAATTCAGAGGCAGAGGACTTCTAAAAAATTATACACCAGTGTTATATTCTGAAAAAAATCTACTTTTAATTTATTTTTGTTTTTTTACCCTATTAAAATGCATTTTTATGTATCTATGCCAAAGGGGTCACAGATTACTTGGATATTGTAAAGGTGGGGTCATGACTTTAAAAAGGTGGGGAAACACCAATCTTAGCCAGTCTGCCTGCACACCTCTTTTGTTCCAAAGTTGCCAGCTTCTACTTGACAAGGTCCCAGTTTTTGACCTCTCCTTGTTGATTCAGTCTACACTGTATCATGTCTATATAACTATCATTCAAGAAAATTATCAAAAACTGATTTAACAAGATTACTGGTGAGAAAAGAGCAAAGTTTCAAAACCCTGTACCTCAACCCCAAACAACTACAACTGAGCAAATGCATTCATTTCTAACTCTTATAAGCCAAGAAAACTCACTAGGCAACCATATGCAAGTCACTGTTTCTTAGCTTGACCTACCTTACAAGTTTGTTGTGAAGAAAAGGGGGGAGGAAAAGAGCCATGCGCACCACTTTGGACTCACTGAAGGAAAGGGGAGATAGAAATGTAATGGATAAAAAAAGTTTCTTACCACTTTGTCTCCATCTTTGACCACTCTGATGTCAAATTTTTCAACATCTTGAATTAAAAGACAATGCCATATTATGATTTTTAAAAATATAACACTCACACTCACACACACACAAGCTGTCAATCAAAGCAATGTTTGTTTTGTTTCTAAGAAATTTGCACTTTAGTTCCACACATCCATCCTGGAATCTTCATATACAAGACTGCTAAAAAACAGTACAATCCTAGTTTAAGATGGCATTATTGTGGAACTCTGCTAGTTCGGTCCATTGGTGGCAATGATATTTTGCAAAATAAGTGAATGAAAAAGCTTTCAGTACAAATAATGTGTTTTTAGACAAAACAAATCAGGCTGATTTTTTTTTTAAAAAAAAAACAGTCCATTAGCTTGTGATGTAGGATTTTTTGCATTTTGTTTTTCACCACCACATTAGGCTGTCTCTCAGTGTTTCATAATTATTGTAGAAAGGTTTGTCTCTCTCCAAAAACCCTCCCCAACCTTGTCCTAAACATCAACATTTAAAAAGCGATTCAACAGGAGAGGTTTCTGGTACAGGAGAGGTTTCTGGGAACTTACACTTATTTAACTTTCTATTAAAATATGATGCACGAATGTACATATATTAAATGCCTAGGATGTAACTTGAACCAAAATCCTGTCTTGTCACTTCGCTGAGCTACTGTTTGTTCTAGAATTACGATTCCTGGCTTGCTGAGAAGCAACAAATCAGGAATGCTAGCCAATATGAATGACACACTGAACAATCTACAGTATTTCTAGTTTCTTTAGGAGAAAGGGGAAGCAAGGCAAGAACAGATGCACTTCTTCATGATAAGCCAGAATTCTAGGAAGGTGTATGTCAGGCTCATCATGCCATGAATCTATCATAAAACCCTAGATAGAAGAGATTCCATAAAATTTCATTAAATCAAGGTTTATTTCCAAACATTGGTCAAAATCTTGTTGTAGAACTATATATGCACAATTCATGGTTGCAACCACTGGTGCCTTGCAGTTGATCATGTAGGGGATGTTTGACCAATTACACAATTATAATAATAATAAGTATTCTTAACTATGCCAGCATGAATGCTATATTTCATGCATGAAATTCAGTGCTTTCTCAAGCTCCACACGACACTCTAGTAAGAGTATAAAATAAGACAACAAATTCTTCCAATCACAGGGCAATCTGAAGAACCACACAATTGCACCAGAAATTATCAGAGAGCCACAAAATAATGGAGTTGGAAGGTGACTGTAAGGGCTTTCCTCATATGATAATATATAAATATACAACCAAGAACACCTCCCATAAATTCTGATGCTTCACATCTTTTCTTGTTTGTTTGTTTGTTTGTTTATATATATTCCTCCCATCTAGTCAATGACCACTCTAGGCGGCTTCCAACACATATTCTTCCAACAGGAGAATAAAGAAAAGAGATGAAAGCATAGACAGATCTTTATACAGTTCATTAGATTATATTTCCTATAGTTAAATAGGTAGGCACCAGAGAACATTCTGAGAACTTTCAATTAAAAATGCATATAATTTTTAAAATGCTTACATTTATCTTCTGAAATGAGTAAAAGACAGCTATCTGGAAAAGTATTTGTTTCTGCAACTGGATATAGAAACTGTAAAAAGAAATTGTTCAAAGATAACAAAGGAACTAAAATTTCATTGGTGAAACTACATAGCTACCTAATGATGTAGGTAGGTGATTTAAAGTATAACTTTTTAATAGGGCAGAAAAAAGGTTTTACTGCAATTTGGCACAGGCATCCCATATCTTTAGAGACATTACCCTATATACCCAATTACTCTTCTAAATTAAAATATCAATGGAATCACTTACTTGCACTTTGATGCAGCTATCCACAGCCTTTAAAACTTTCACATTATTAACTGGATGAATTTCGATTAGTAGGGTCAGACACTTAGACACTGGGACAGAAGCACAATTAAGACATCAGTCAGCAGTTTGCAACATTTATCATACATTCATATAAAATTATGCAAATGTTTTAAGTACCTGGTTGCAATAGTAGATTTACTCTTTCTTCTTTTGTTGACTGAAGAAAGCTGATAGCTAATTAAAAAATTCATATTGAAGCTGTAAGTATTAGAAAAGAAACCCTAGAACTCTTATTTACCTACTAAATGTATGGAAGAACATAAAAGCACCAGTTCATGTTTAAGAGTATCCAAAAGGGGGTGGAGAAAATACAGTTGAGTTTGTCCCCATGCATCACAGGTTTCAGTCCTGTCAATTGACAGCATTCAGGCCCTGACAGCTTGCCCTGAAGCAAACCACTCTCAGTACAAAAACTGTTGCCCATCCTTGAGTTAGACAAGATAGGACAATGACAATTATACCAAGAATAATGAAATTTAGAACTTGAGAATTTAGAATGTAATACAACTTATCAAGATTTGGTCTTCACAATTATGCAAGAAAATATTTATAGAAAAATGGAAGGCGCTTACCCAAAAGTGTATTTTCACTGTTGACTGAGCAACTGACCACATGTAAATCTTTTTCAAAAGTATAAATGCACTATTGGGGGGGAAAAGAAGACACACCTTTGGCTAAAGCACAGTTAGACTAAATATTATGTGAGGAGAAACAACAATACTGTGGACATTTTATAAACCAGTAAAAACACTTACAGCTCCTCCTCCATGCTCTTCTACTAAGGTACACCATACAATTAGTCAAAAAGTAAGGAAAACAATCGCCAACCCTTCCGTACTAGGTTTCTTGAAAAATACACCCATGGAACCAATTATTTTTGTTCTACTGTAGTTTAGAGAAGAGAGCTAGCTGATTTTTTTACATTAATCTACTAATTACATTTTATTCAGATTATTTATTCTGGAGATTTCCAGAGTTATAATTTATAAATGACACCGTTTACTGGGGGGGGGGGCTGTATGATCCTTGGACATATTCCAAAAACAAGGATAAGTAATAGCTTTGTTGAACAACTAAAATGTTAAAAACAAGGTACCAAATAAACAAAGGTCCACATAGTCAAAGCTATGATTTTTCCAGTAGTGATGTATGGAAGTGAGAGCTGGACAGTAAAGAAGGCTGACTGCCGAAGAATCGATGCTTTTGAATTGTGGTGCTGGAGGAGACTCTTGAGAGTCCCCTGGACTGCAAGGAGAGCAAACCTATCCATTCTAAAGGAAATCAAGCCTGAATGCGCACTAGAAGGACAGATCCGGAAGCTGAGGCTCCAATAATGTGGCCATCTCATGAGAAGAGAAATCTCCCTGGAAAAGACTCTGATGTTGGGAAAGGGTGAAGGCAAGAGGAGAAGGGCACGACAGAGGACAAGATGGTTGGACAGTGGCATCGAAGCTACCACCATGAATTTGACCAAACTCCGGGAGGCAGTGGAAGACAGGAGGGCCTGGCGTGCTCTGGTCCATGGGGTCACTAAGAGTCGGACACAACTTAACGACTAAACAACAAGGTACCACCTTCTGCTGAACTCAAAAGCTCACGTTTTAATTGTCTGATAAAGGGATTCCTTCACTCTTGTTTTCTGAATTTATTAATGTCAATTGTACCTAACCAACCCCCCCCCCAATTTCAATTGATCCTGTTCTGACTGGGAATCTATTGTTTTTCTGCATAATAACAGGATATCTAATGGGGGGGGGGAAGAGTGTGGACTGTAGCCTTAATGAGATGAATTATCATTATCAAGTAAGAATTATAATGAAGTTGCTGAAACATGATAATTTTATACGGACATGGTTTCCGCTCATTGATTTTGTTAATCACAGTGAATCAAATTAAAGAATCAAATCAATGAATCTCACCTGATACTCAGAGGAACATATGGCATGATGTTTTACCTTAATGTGCTACTGTATGTTATTATGACGTCTTCACCAAAATCCTCCTTGAAATTAGATGTGTTGCGGTAGTACTTTGTGATTGATATTTGTGGCACTAAAAATTCATTTGTTTTTTTTTCCCTGTTGTTTCCAGTTATGAGCTGTTCTGCCTTTACCTTTTGATTTATTTATATTAGTCAATGTAAAAAAAACACAACTACATTCAATTAATGCTACAAAACCAAAACAGAACGACTCCTCCCACATGGCACTCACTCACTCAAAGAAGGTTGTTCAGGCAAGACAACCCCCACAGAGGCTCATTCTGTGGATGCTGGGAAGAGGAGGAGGAGGAGAGTTTCCCCACAAAGGCAATGCACAATTCAAAGTCTAGGCCCCTCTGTGAGAAAAGCTGGTATGCCCCTTTCATGTGATGACACGAGCCAAGGCCTTTCTATTCGAGAGAAGAGACCAGAAATCTGATTTTATCAGTCTTGTTGGTAATTTTTAAAATACACATACAGATTTATGAAGGACAAATTTTAGAAAAGTTTCCATGTTGTTGGTTTTGTGAGAACTGCTGTAAAGTCTGCAATTTACTTTGGATACTACAGCTTGGTGAAAAGGTGATTTAGAGAAAGTTTATCTTGTAAAAATGCTTGAAAGTTTACCTTGTAAAAATGCTTCCAAGACCAAACTTGGAAATCATTTTCTAATCAATACTATAAATTATGCTATAAATTAAGTCTTACCTGGTTTTTTTGACTACTGGGATCATATAATCCAATATGGGTATGTCCTCGATTCCCCTGCATTGAAAGTTGATACATAATTTTAGAAGTCTTCCAGCATCCATGCTTGCCAACATTTTACTTGCTCTTCAAATAAACGAGACAGGAAAAACTTCACCTACTTGATTTCTAGGCATAAGGCTCCTGTAGCCATGCCTAGAGAAAGCAATGGAAAAAACAACTCCCAACTTCATTTCTGTCATGTGTTTTATCAACCATTTCCTTCTCTTCACTGAATGCACCAGTTCTTTTACTTTTCACGGTAAAAAGCAGCATCTGGCCCACTCCTCATTTGCTCTGTTTTCAAATTAGTATTAGAACACTTTGCATTAAATAATTCATCACTGCTTTTCGGTTTCTGTCCACTCCACCCCAGAACAAGCATCGGCAAAATACAACCCATGTATGTTGGAAAATTTGGAAACCATCAAAATAAACTCATATTGAACCATTCTCCATTTAAGCCTGAAACTGCCTTATTTGCCCCTCTCTTTTTTTAAAAAAAATCCTCATCTCCAGTTCAACAGAAGGTAGTCCAGCTCATTCTTACAGCACTCTTAAGGCCACAATATACATTACAAGCCATCATTAGAAGAAGGAATTCCTTAAGTCCCAATTGCATGTGATAGTAGTAGCAGGAGGTTTAACTCATTCTAATTGCTACTTAGCTTACTTTATGTACATACTGTAAGCAGATCCTTTGCTCGCAAGTCTGACTTCTCAGACACATAAGTCTGTCTGAATCTCTAGGACACTAAAATAATTTTAGCTCAAATGACAGGTTATCTGTAATATTCAGTTTGACCATCAGACCTTTCAAGACTTCAGAGACAAGCCACTCTTACCTTAAAGGCCTTCATTTACATTGCATCATCTTCATCTGTGTTCTTTATGGTTTTGAGGTTGCTTTACAATACATTATGAGTTAATTCTATGAAATCTGGTAAAAGCCCTATTGACTATGCTGTGCTCTCCTAGGTTTTTTTGTAAAGAGATGTTTTTATCCCAAGTCTTGAACAGTGGTTGTATGTGCTTTTTAAGCTGGTCTCATAAGACCTAAATCTAATTGCTAGTCTCAACTACACTAAATCAGCTGCTGAAAGGTACTGATTTAATGAGTCTACAGCTTACTACTGGATTTCAGTCAATAGGTCTACTTTAGATAGAAAAAGCAACTGAATTGAGACCCTAATTAAACCTCCTATTTTTAGTCCAAATTTAAAAATTAGATTAAGTGATTATTGTTTGTTATCAACTATTATGCTGCTGGAACACCTAGTATGCTGGTTTCCTGTACTGGTAAATTTGACTAGATGATTCTTAGATTCCTTCCAGTTCTACAAATACTGTGAATCTACCGCACATGGTTGCTGTTCTTACTTTCTGGAGAGCAAGATTCCATGCAGTGAGAGTTACTTTTCAGCAGAACAAACACAGGTTCACACAGCTAGCTTCTCAAGTGAAAGAAAAATAAGATTTACCTTCCAAGTATAAACAATGTTTCCATTTCTTTCCACGTTTATTGTCTGCAGTGTTTCCAAGTCATTTCCTGAAGCATCTGAAATAACAAACATTAATGTACAGTAAACCACCTCAAATCAATTTTAATGCTAGTCTGTCTGAAAAGAATCTACCCCAAAAAAATCATTATGAAAATAACAAATAAAGGGATCAGAAGGTATCCTGAACTATTCTTCAATGCCTTTATGAGAAGCATGCCTCCCTCAATATGAATAGGAAATTTATTTTTTATTCCACTCTTCCAATATGATAAACCACAACATCAAATGGCTATTGTTAATTTCTAGGACAGCAAAACACGAGATTACATTTTATCCATAACGGGGAATTTTTAAATCACATGACTTTATCTTATGAAACCTAGGAGTCAATAATCCTATTTTCCTGTTCTTCACTGGAACAACTTTTTCTTATATGGAACCTGATTATTATGTTAAATGAAACAGAGGAAAAATGTCTGACACGCTGTACTCCACTATGGAAACATGAATGTTTGAGACAGGGAGCTCCCCACATACCTCCAACACTTGGAAGACGTACAAAAGTTCATTATTAACAAGAGTCACTAATTGCCAGATTGTCAACAGACCATACATGTCAATTGGAGCAACATCACCATATAGTTAAAAAAAATGCCCTGCTGCAGTACTTCCTGGAAGCGATACTCTCACTGTTCTTTAGGTTCTACAGACAGTGCCTCCCAAAGAACTACCACTCCCAGAAAGCATGATGACAGCTTCCTTTTTTGTAGATTGATAACAGGGCTGGACTAGGCCTTGGAGCTAGGCCTTGGTCTGGGTGGGCACAGGTGTTTGTAGATGTGAATCTGTGGGCTGAAACTCCCAGAATTCTGCCCTGGGAATTCTTGAAGAATTGTGGGAATTGGGGTTCAAGAAACAAATGGCACATCCCTAGTGGTGATCTTTTACACTCTATTGACAAATTCAAAACAATCCAACCCAGATGGTATCCATACAAGATTTCATTAAGAAGTACAAATGTCAACTTTCTAACAAAAATATGCATAATAATCTTAAACTCCACCTCCATGTCAACTAACTATAATTGGCTACCATAACAGCAATTTTAAAAGGGAGCCTGGATGTTATAAACTGGTTAACTTTATGTCTGTTCTTGCTAAACTGGTGAAAATATTAACCCTCACCCTTCAGGACGTGGAATTATGTTGTGACACTAATGGATACAAACTGAATAAATAAATAAACAAAATAAATACAGTAACAAACTTGCATTGCCTGACTTATGAGGGGTTTTTTAATCAATAAGAATACTGATGTATTCAAGTTTTGCAGGGCTTGGATTAGAGTTGTGGTTATAATGTAATGTACACATATTATATTTTGAATACCCACTGAGCAGGGTGGATTAAAATTGGTGATTTATATATATATATGTATATACATACATACATACATACATACATACATACATACATACATACATACATACATACATACATACATACATACATACATACATACATACATACATACATACATACATACATACACACACACACACACACACACACACATTTATTTTAATGAAATGCTTTTGGAAGAAAATCTATCTAAAGATAGTTTTATATTTATGATACATTCAAAGGTTATTCCACATGAAACAGACCTTAGTTATGTAGCATGAGGATGTATATTCATGCAACATTTACATTTTCAGTAAACTAATTAAATTAATCCAAGTTATCTAAGCTGAGATAACATGCACTTTTTCACAGTAAAAATGGCACAAAATGAAAAAAAAATCAGGAAAATATCTTAATCTCACTGTCGTTCTGCATATCAACATACAATTAACACATTCATGTTAAAATATAAGCATATGTATGATATATAATGTTATTGTATTAGTTAAATAAAACAATTTAAGTAGTTCTCCAAATATGTGTGATTAACCTATTCAACTAAAATCTGTTCTGATACAGCTGTTTTATTAATCTGACAGGTTACTATTCTAAATGTGAAATCTTCATCTAAATGTGAAATCAAATATTAAAGATTATAACTACCAGCAATAATGAGTCTTTACATTTAAAAATCATGATTTACTTGAGTCGATCTGATTTAAATCAAATCCACCCTGCCATTGAGAATTCTAATGACCCTTTGAATGAGGCCAGAATACTGACGAATAAAGTATTTTAGTTGTGCTTCTCAGCACAAGTGTTCTCTGGAAAATGGCACAAGGGACTTTCTATCCAAATACATTCCATTGTTTGAGACCCCCCAAAAAGTACCACAATTGCAAAATTTAAAAATTTGTTAAAATAATTACTGTCCCAGCTTGGTGTCTATTAGAAAACAATGCATGGAAAAATCAGGGATACTGCATACAACTCTTCAGGTGTTCTACAATGCCTATATTATAAGTCTAGTTCTGTCTGGAATCTGCGGTAAAATGTGACTCTGGAAGAATAACATCTCCCATCCTCGTGCATGAGCGTTAAAGATATTATCAAGCACACAATAGGGCGCGCCTTGCTGAACAAGACTCAACAAGACTCCTAAAAAGATATGTCCTGTCTCACCAACCTTTTAGAGTTATCTGAGAGTTCAGCAACCATGTGGATAAAAGTGCATCTGATAATGATTGTTTACTGGGATTTTTAAAAGGTTTTTGCAGAACAAAATCAGCAGCTGTAGGGTTAGAAGGAAGGTCCGTTTATCAGTAACAGGCTAAAGAACAGATAGCAGAGAAAGGGAATAAATAAACAGTTTTTCAAACAGAGAAATGAAAACAATGGGATTCCACAAGAATTTGTATTGGGTCCATAATTTGTGTGGGGGTAGGGATAACCATTTCAGTGTCATGGACAGAGTAACAGACCTGGACTCAGGAGGTCAGGGTTAGAATCTCTGCTCAGCCATGGAGAGTCATTGGGTGTATGGAAATGGTAAACCATTCCAGAAATATCTCACATACGTACCTTGAAATCTCTCCTGGTGTCACTATAAATTCGTTCTGACTTGAGAGGGGTAAGCAGTTTGTCATTTACTTGATAGCTAGATTTGCTGATGATACCAAGCTATTTATGACTGTCCAAAAAAGGGGGGGGGGACTATAAAGGGCCCTGAAACCAACATGGTGGAGAAATCTTTTCATTCGGCATTTAATATAAGCACTTATAAGAGGATCACACTGAGAAAAACAACAACCCTATTTTCTCATATACATTCATTGGGTCCACATTGAGGGTGACTGACTGGCAAAGAGGTGTTGCGGTTGTTCAATGAAAATGTCAACCCAACGTGTGACTGATGTAGAAAAGGTGAAGTAAAGTTTGGGGTGGGAAGGAAAGAGACTGAAAATAATACTGCCAATGCCATGCCTTAATGCTGAGAAGAGTGGAGAGATGGGAAAAGGCTTTCTCAGCTGCAGCAAACTGACTGTGGACTACTCTTCCTTTGGGTCCTCAATTGGTGACAAGACTGGCATCATTTTGGCAACAGGTTAAAACATACATATTTATTATAGCGTTTAGCTGGCGAGGACCATGGCTGGTACACCGAGGCATGTATTCACTTCATTTTCTTTCGCTGGGCTGGCAGAAGCTCTGCAGCAGAACTCTGCACTTTTCCTTCTCTCGACTTTTTAAAAAAACTATGTCGTTGCCAATCAGCTGCCAGGAGTCCCTTCCCTCGCTTGTATGGACGCTCAGTATCACCACCACCATTAGTTGCTCCCCCACTATCAGCTATAACATAACATTTGAATTGTTATATATTACTCAGATTAGCTAGCTAGGCCCACAATGGGAGTGGTGTTGGATGATGTATATGTTCTAGTTATAAGCCCCCACACTTGGTGGTAAGTTCCATAGATTCAAAGGAATTCTCATCTAATTAATCATTTTTTGGGACTGTAACTTTACGTTTCTTCTGCAAGGTATACATTTCAGTACTACTTAATCTGCAAATAAAAGTCCTCAAAACTACATGTCTTATGGCCTGCCACTGCTTTTTAAAGATATTTTCTAGATAAACACTTTATTATTAGCTATTTTTCACCTCCAAGGATAACACTGCCAAAAGCTGTTAGTTAAATCAGATCAGGCATCAAATAACAGCAGAAAGTAGAAAGAATTTCTTTGGCAAGTTTCAGAACTATAGGTTTGAAGGAATAATGTCCAACATCAAAACCACAGAAGGAAATGGACTTGGATAAATGAAACTATGGGGGGGAGAGAATTTTAGGGGTGAGAACATTCTGTGTTTTCAAGCTGATTTTTAAATAGTAGAAGGAAAGTAAAATAAATAAAAATATGTAACTACGGCTGAAATTGCATTGCATATAGTACCATCAGGGCTAATTTTCAGAAACTTCCTTTCCCCCCCCACAGCCTGTGCAACTCTTAAGTAATCTATTTCATTGCATGGAAACCATGGGAGTCAGAAGACACAAAGGTATTTAATTACTGAATATGTCTGCCTGCCACTAATGTTTGGAAGCCGAATTTTTCAATAATTAAAGTCTTCCTCCTTCTATCCCAAAACTGTCACCACTTCTATTCAATGAAAAAATTACTTGTAAATCAGACAATCTGTGGGACAGGAGGAAAGGAAAGAATTTTGTTTATAATTGATTATAGAAGAGGAGTGTGGGAAGATTTGTCAAAAATTAAAAAAGGAGGCTGTGATGCCTAAAAATTTGGTAACCAGTGGTCTACAAATTGGGTATGAGAGTAGACAGTAGGACTGTACCCTGCAAAATAGTTCTCATTTCTTTTATTTTTGATTGTTTCAGGTGGAGGTACCTCTTTTGTTTTCTTCCATTTTCATATTTTACCCTACTGCTCCTTTTGTTTTACTCAAACAAAAGGCTTTTTCATATCATTTATTTTATAGTTCCCCACTAGTATTATCTGGCACTTCAAAAGACCTAAAGAACCCTTAAAATCTACTCTAAAAAGCAAAGGCAAGGTAGTGAAGAACCAATCTACTCCAAAAGCAGGAAATGTTACATGAATAAGAAAAATAATACAGTGGGGTCTCTACTTAAGAACGTCCCTACTTAAGAACAATTCCACTTAACTTAAATTATCTGGCACTTCAAAAGACCTAAAGAACCCTTAAAATCTAGTCTAAAAAAAACAAAGGCAAGGCAGTGAAGAACCAATCTACTCCAAAAGCACGAAATGTTACATGAATAAGAAAAATAATAATCAGATCTATGGAGGTACCAGTTCAAATTATCACACTGAAAACAACAGTATGAGTTCCATGCTTCCCAAACAGAACAAAAGAACCACTGGACCTGGACAGCACAACAGAAAAAAGGCAAGGAGGCAGACAGCTAGGCACTGGTTGCTTGGCACAGAGAGACATCCAGTCACCATTAAGTAGAGACCCCACTGTAATCAGACCTATGGAGGTACCAGTTCAAATTATAACACTGAAAACAACAGTATGAGTTCCATGCTTCCCAAACAGAACAAAAGAACCACTGGACCTGGACAGCACAACAGAAAAAAGGCAAGGAGGCAGACAGCTAGGCACTGGTTGCTTGGCACAGAGAGACATCCAGTCACCAGCAACCAACAGTAACACAACATCAAGAATAAGACAGGAATGTCCCAAGCTGTGCCCAACTGGCCATAACAAACAGCAACAGAGTCCAGTGACATACCAGCACAGCCACTAAGTCCACCCCCTGGCCCAGCCCACCCCCACAGAAGCAAACAAAAGAGTCCTCAAAAAATTCAGCAAAATAAACACCTTTAATTGAACAAACTAGCCAAATAACAATTTTAAAAAGCAGAGAAAGTACCCATAGCCCCCCAAATACACAAGAAAAGAGCAAAAAAAAAAACAAAACGGGTTGCCTCAAAACCAAGAAAAGCAAGCAAGCAAGGAAGGGCAAAAAATTAGTATATCTCCAAAGTACTAGTACAGTATTTGAGGAGATTTCCCCTGCTACTTGACGTGGAGGCTTCTTATGTCCAGCAGGCAGCAGCAAAAATAAACAAAGAAAGAGGGGGGAGAGATCCTTCCAAAAAAAATCAAGGAAAGGATCCAAGGTGCAGACATGCAGAGAGCAAAGGGAATCCAGAAATTCAGCACACGTTCCACCCACAAGAAAGTGAAGCTGAAAGAGCTCTCCTCATTGGTTTCCAGCCTTCCTTACAATCTTGGTACTTCCTCTGGATGAAGTTATATTATTCCTTTTCACATCCTGTTCTCCAGCAATCATGTGAGACTACATATTTTGTTTATAAATTTGTACAGTACAGTAAAATACTGTACAAATTTATGAACAAAATATGTAGTCTCACATGAATGCTGGAGAACTGCTCCTAAGTCTGAGCAGTCATGAAACAGGTAGGTAATTAAGTGAGGAGTGCCTTATGGGGTGATACTGCATTCACATTCTGCTTGTGGCCTTCCTATAAGCAACAGGTTGCTGATTGTGTGAATAGGATGCTGATCTAGATAGGCTTTTGGTTTGATTTATAAGTCTCTTCTTACATTCTTATGACAGACCAAATCTTGCTTTTTCCAGGAGAAGGCTCCCAAACTTTGGTCCCCAGATGTTCTTGGCCTAAGATTACCTAAAAATTGATCAGTGGGTGTAATGACTGTTGCAGATTTTTGAATTTCTGGTATAACTCCTCTAGCTCTGCAGCAGATGTGCAGGGATTCTGTGAGGGTTCTATTTTTTTTTAATTTGGGTCTCCACAAAAACATCCTTAGACTTAGGTAACTTTGCAACAGGGGAAAGGTTTATTGGAGTATTCAACATGAATTCTTTATCCACAAAATTGTCCCATAACACTTCTGTCACCATCGGGTCCAACAGGGGTCTCTTTGTTTCATTCATAAATGGGCTGGTTTTCTCTGGGTTCCAGGGACCTAGCCAGCCTCAGAGAAGGTCATCTTGCGATATCTCATTGTCCTCTTCTTCCAATAAGGGAGTGGTCTCGTCCTCACCGGCTCCATCCCACTCAGCATCTCGGGTGTTGGAGAATAGGGTCCTGGGTCTCACTGCGCATCCCCCCTCCTCCATACCCCCTCCACTCTCCATCTCAATCTCTCCTGTTTTGCGCATCCCCCCTCCTCCATACCCCTCCACTCTCCATCTCAGTCTCTCCTGTTTTTCCCTCTCTACCTTCTCTTTCTCCTCTCTTAGCCACCTCCTCCACTCACGAGCCTCCGCTTCACCCCAGTAAGATGGACATGATGGAATCTCTCGTCTCCAGCAATAGTCTGCCTCTTCTCTGGGCACCTGGAGTCTTTCCCACTCTCTGGTCCAAGGGTCTTGTGCGGGAATCTCTCGTCTCCAGCAATAGTCCGCCTCTTCCCTGGGCACCTGGAATCTTTCCCACTCTCCGGTCCAAGGGTCTTGTGCCCGGATCCCTTCCCAACCTGGAGGCAATCCCTTCTCATCCCTTTTTATCTCTGCGGTCCCCGCCTCAATCTCCACCATCTTTTTTCTACATGTTCCCACCAAATGTTCTTCCGTTTGAATGGCTACCATTAACTCACACATTTTGACTTCTAAATCCCATGTATCGGTACCCCTTTGTTCTTTTGTAACCGGGGGTGGAGTGGGCGAGGTCTGTACCTCCCTCTCCGTAGCTGGTGGAAGGGATGGCACTCCAGTGAGGGGCTCCTTTCCCTCGCCTCCCTTCTCACAGATTCACAGAGCAGAATAACTTCAAGTTCTTCCCTTATCACAGATTCACAGAGCAGAATAACGTCAAGTTCCCCAAAGTAGTCCACCCCATTTTCTCATTAACTGGCACTTACAGTCTCAATAACTCACTGTGAGACATTAGTAAGCGAAAGAATAATTTTTTTCATTTATTAACAGTTGAACAGGTCAAACAGCAAACTGACAAATATGCCCATTTTCAGAAACAGACCTCAACAGACATATGAGAGAGAAACAGCACTGAGCAGAGAGGCAGAGTTCTCTTTGAATTTAGAGGCAGGAGGTAACAAGTGGTAAGTGCTGGATAGAGTGACAGTGACCCCAACCTAGAAAGGTCCCTCCCAGCCAAACTTGCCAAAAGCAGCATGAGAGGCTGCAAAAACTCCAGCAGTGATTTGGGCTTTTGGAAGCTGCAGTCCAAGGATATCTGGGACCCTAACACTGGGAATTATTAGACTAATAATTTTGTGACCATTATTAGTCTAATAATGGTCACAAAATGTCATCACAATCCATGATCTGTCTAAATTCAATTTGCAGTTGCTAGAGACCCTGAATCTTATCACTTTTCAGCTAAAGATAATTTTGTGACAATTATTAGTCTAATAATTGTCACAAAATGTCATCACAATCCATGATCCGTCTAAATTCAATTAGCAGTTGCTAGAAATACCCTGAATCTTATCACTTTTCAGCTAAAGAATAATGTGAAGAGACAAGTTACTACACACATCATGAAAGCTGGCATGCATGATAGAAGGCTAGTAGGAAATTGAATCTACACAAGGATTTCCTGCTTTCCCGTGTTTCATTTGCTATTCTTGAACTTCCAAATGCATCACTAACATTATCATTCCTAAAGGTTAATATAGGACACATTTGAAGGAAGTTTATATTTAAAAAACATACCTAATAATTTAGATACTGTACCTTTTGTATTCAGACCTTTTGAAGATGTTTACTTAATACTATGCTATGATTAGATAGGCACAATTAACCTGCCATTTCTGGCATTCACACAAGTCATGCAGCTCTTTGAGCAGGCTCAAACAAACACTAAGTACTTTTATGTTTAACTTCACCTGGGCAAAGCAAATTAACGCAATCAAACTTTCCAAGTGACAAGCAACCCAGTTGTTACATAGCAGTTTATTCTATTCTCCAAGGAAATGCCTGCATTAAATTCCTTGATGCATAAGAAGTATTAACAGAAACGAAATAGAACACTACACGCTGGTGGTTTTTTCTTCTTCCAGAGAACACTGATGGTGAGAACTTCCATAACTAATATAAGAGAAATCTAGTGATTTTTCTGGACAGCCAAACCAGCCTTGCGGGACTAACTGAGGTTTCCAAACATTTTATTTATAAAGAAATTTAATATTTTGGAGTCACTGCATGGCTGTGGGATGGACGCCGGGCGCCTTCCCCGTAAACCCATAAACCAATGTTTATATCAATAAATAACTTTACTATACAGGTATTGTGGCAACGCTTCACATCCCATGAAACCTGCACAGGACTCAAGGGCCAACTTGGTGAAAGGCACCCCGTCCTGAGGTTGTTTCTTGGGCTGATCTGCCCAACCCAGCTCTAACTGCCCCCCCCCCGGACAGAGCAGGACTGACTTCTAGGACCGTGCCTTGCCCACTTTCATACCCCTGGCTAACTTCGCCCAACTTCTACTGCCAGCCAGTTTCTTGCAACGGGGACTGAGGTCGCCTCTCCACTTGTTTATTTCCCTCGACGCTCCGGAGGCTGAAGTGCTTGTGAAAGAGGCGGTTCCGTGTTTGCTCCCAGAGCGGGGCAGAGCTTAGCGGGGACTTAAAGAGTACTCCCCCCTCAAAAGTCACAGGCTGGCTAGAACGAGAACGAGAGCCTCGAAGGGCCACCTTGTCACAAAGAGCGTGAAGCCGAACCCTTACCAGCCTTCGCGTCGTCTCCAAGCGCCCCTCCAGCGGCTGACTCCGAAAGCCAGGGCACCACGTCCCTCTGCGGATCAAACCGGGAGCTCACGCTCAGCTGCACCAGCATCGCCCCCGACCCAGAAGAAGCTGGGAGGAGGGACCCTCCCGGGGAATTTATGGAGAAGCCGCCCCGAGGCGATCCCACGGCCACGCAACGCCTCCCGAGGCGCGCCCTTCAGAAACAAGGAAAGAGCGCGCCCACGTTGGTCCCCCTCCGTCCCTCCCTCCCTGGGCAGCTGCTTTCACTTCAGCCCAGACAGCGGCCGCCGCCGGCATCGCCCTGAACGAGACCCGGGAGCGTGTTGGCAATTTGACGCGCCGCGTGTCACTCATCGGTGCTCGGCCCTAGAGTGGCCGAGCGCCTTGCTACATAAACACGAGGGAAGGCGGTGCATCTGAACGCAAAGTTTTTGTGTAAACTTACGCGGGGGAGGGGGTTGGAGACTTTCATGGCTCAAG